TAGTTCATCTGGTCACATGTGCCGGCTGTGACAGTATAACTGCCACTAGTTCCTGTGATAATTGCAACCAAGTGCTAGCAGTATCAGCAAACTCTAGCTTGAAACAAATTTATTTAGCCTTTTTCTAGCTGTACTTTATATTTCACCATAAATTTTTTTCCTTATCTTTATCAACACCTAAAATCATGAATATAAGCAGTGATAAACGACTTTCGATAATAAAATCTATCAAAATCACCTCCAGGCTGGAGCATAAGCCGTTTTTATATATATTATATATTAGATTTGCGGGAGCTGAAAAATGTAAAATGTACTCCCCATTGTGCCACCTCCGTACTCAGAGCTTTCCGCTCCGCTCGCGACATTGTCGGACAGGCCACTGCCTGTTGTTACTACCGCCGTGGACACTATCTGGCTCGTGGTCTCGCCTGGCACCGAGTACTTGCGCAGCCCCGGCTGGTGCTGTTGTAAATGACGCGCGCGTTGGCGCCGTTGCTGGGGCCACCGTTTGTGTTGGTGACTGGGAATTCTTATAGTGTGCCGCCAGCTCTTCCAGGCGAGCTTGATACCGTGGACCTGCGGTCTTCACGAACGTGGTGAACCGCGTCCTCATAATTACCACTGAGCCAGTGGTTTCGAGCTCCAACTCCCGTAGCAGCTCTGCCAGCTCCTCCTTTTTCAATGATCGCAACCAAACGCACCATCCTGAGCCAACAATTGTCGCCTTACTTTTGTAACTTGTCGGTGGTCGCGGTCGTGTTTAACCTCACTTTACCTTGGGTTCCCTGCTCGGACGCCACTTGCAACGCTGCCCCGGTGATACTCGCTGGCCAGAGTCGCTCGGTTATTTTATTTATTTTCCGAACCCCGAAATAAAGCTTGAAAACCGCTGGGTGGTTGCGTTTCGATATTTATGTGTGCCTTTTAATTTTATCGCGCCTCGTGGCTAATGAATATTTATACACTTCATGTGGCTTAACTTAAGATTTATACAAAATGCACCGCCTTCGTGGCTGTACTTCGACTCCCTTAACTCAATTTTTCATTCTTTTTTATCACAATTATTTTTTACGCCGTCCTCGCCGTCCTTTTCTAGTCAGGACGTTACAGTACCTTCTGTGTCCTATTTTTTAAGTACGATGAAATCCAATTAAAAGAGTTTGAAGAAAATCCCATTCGAGTTAGCTTTAAAAGGTCGTGATTCACAGAATCACACGCTTTACTGAAGTCGGTATATATATAAAACAGGGTTGCATCCTTGCTTGAAATGCATCATTTATGAAAGATGTAAATTCTAGCAGATTAGTCGTTGTTGACCGATATGTATAAAAATCCATGATGAGCAGGGGAGATTACAGACTTACAATGATGCTGTAAAGGGGAAGTAATTATTTTTTCAAATAATTTAGGAATGGCAGAAAGTTTAGCAATGCCTCTATAGTTGGAAATGTCTGACTTACAGCCCTTTTTGTGGAGTGGTATAATAAACGATTCTTTCCAAGAAGCAGGAAAGATTCCGTTCTCAAGGGACAGATTAAAAAGCCTAAGAAACGGCTTGCAGAGGGAAGTATTACACTCTTTGAGAACACAACTAGGAATGTTGTCAGGCCCATGAGAGAATGAACATTTTACAGATTAGATTAGATAAAATACAAGAATCTGTAATTATTGGAGCAAATATAAAATTTGAAGGCATAATGCGGAAGGGGTAAGAATTGCCGTTAGAAGACTCGGAGAATCTTTAGTAGAATTGTGCTTGGCAACGAAAAATGATGATGGAAAAGTCGAAGATTTCCGCTAAGAATTTACGAAGTTATAGAAGGGTCCTGTTTAAATTGGAGCTTGCCACGCTCAGGATAATTTGTGTAACACACTAAGCTAAAAACAAGAAAATTTGATTTTTCAGTACAATACTAAGCCATACTGTTTGAACTTTTTGAAACATCTGGATTTTATGTTTTTTAAGTTAGAAAGTCTACTCGTAAACCATGGAGGCCTTCATAGGCTTCGATCTGTTAACGAAGACCGGAGTGTCATTAAATCTAATCGAAAAGACTCTAATGTACCAAGGCACGTCAGAGAAGTTACAATTGCACAACTGTTATAGTGTGAGTTTCACAGATGTAAATAAAAGAATTTCAGCAAGTCAACATGGACATATGCAACCCAAAGTCTTCGAGATCTGAGAAATAATAGAAGGCATGGCAATAAACTGAACCCCTTGTGCTTTGAAGACAAAATACAAGCCGGCATGAGAACGCCAGTTCTCAGTAAGGGGAGGGTGGTCCATAAGGATAACCTCAGATAAGCTCACATGTTATGAACTTTGGAAAAAAGAAAAGAACCTTTATATGTTACAATACGCCAAAGTAAAATGCAAAACATAGCGTTAATCACTCTTGCCAAATCAAACATAATAAATCAAACCATTCCTGACCATTCTATCTGAGGTCTCTAGTTGAATAAGCAATAGTTAGTTAGTTAGTCTTTCAATCCGAGGATATAGCAATAGCCTATCCTAATGTTAAGTTTAACTGTAGAAAGTATCACATACTTCAACTGGAGGATGACATTGAAAATGAAGGTGATATCGTAAGCGTCAGCACCGAAACAACACAAGACATTTTCCGCGTCGCGATACTTGCGCACGAGCACTCCACGCCGGAAGCACCACTCATTGTCACACTGAACCCAGCCACCAGAAAACAATCACTCATATAAATGATGGTGACAGCCCGAATCAGCACTGACGATGGCCCAGGGATAGCAACCAATGGCCGTGTCTTGTTACTTTCGATTGATCAGCCGACCGCCATGGGACCAAATACGTGAATCACTGCGAAACCCTGAAAAAAAACACCAGCTTGCGTATCATCAAAGAATTTAAGGAGGAGGAGGCTTCGGCGGGTGACCTCAAAGTATGGTTCCTCTTTTATAAAGTGTTAAGAAGAATATGATATTCCATGGAAACTTTAAGGGGGGAGTAATTAAAACCAGGGTTCTGCTGCACACGCATGCAGCGCTGTTGTGTGCTGTAGTGTGCAGACAGGCAGAAGACGTGTGCAGTTGTGTGCAGCAGACACAGGCCGAACACTCGCTGCCTGATCCGTTTTAGCTTGACCCAGCTGTTTTGCCTACTTGTGATACTATTTTGTATTCGTGGCGTTGCAACCTATTTATTCCCATACCAGTTTTGTGCAATTGCAAATGGTAACCTTTGTCAAGGGCAGAAGGAAAGCGAAAGTGAAGGAAGTGACAGGCAGAAAAATTGTAAGGTGCGAAAAATTGTTAAAGGTGACCGAACATATATTATAAGTGGTGCAAATTGGAGATCCAGAAAAAGGGAAAAGGAGAGTTTAGACAAAGGGCGTACACGCAGAGGAAAAAGGGCGGAGCGAGAAGGCAGACCAGGTACGGGGCACGGAAAATCAACCGACACGATTAGTAATGGTGTTTTTTTCAGTCCACCAGGCTAGGGGAAGGAGTGTAGGGACGTCGGCGTGCGAAGAAGCAAGCCGCCAACGTGTGACAGGGTAGTACTGGAGGGACTGTGTGCTGGAGGCGACCTTCGACTCTAAAATTATTTACATACCTACACATATACATATTTCCGTCAAACATACGACACCAAAATGTATATGCACCCCACATAGCCAGTTCACATAAGCCAGTACAATCATATAACCCAGAATTTATGAAAATATCCACACATATTACACTCAAACATACAACACAAAAAGTATTAACACCACACACTCATATATATACACTCCATAAATATTCTCATACACCATATTTAAACACCCACCAAATTTCCATATCACTCAGACTCATATCCATTCCATAGCCTAAACAACATAATAGCCACATAACATAAAATATAAAACAGAAACACAACACCAAACAATTAACAATATTATAAAACACACACACTCATAGTCCTAGTACTTGTTGCGATATATGTATGTCCAGTTCGAACGACGCGATGCCGGTTTAAGACCGGCGAATTTGTAAAAAAAAATAAAAAATTGTAACTGTGCCAATTTGATGGCACATACATATAAGTATATACATAATTATATGATTACTCGTACATACAGATATAAGGAAATGCCATTTGTGAAAATTAACTACAACAAAATGATACATATGTCTGTAATACGTCTTGGGACACTACAGCAGACCTAAGTAAATGATATTTAAATAAGTCCGATATTTATACTCGAGTATAGGTAGACAAAGAAATCGGAGGTTTAAAGAAAGTTTGAAGAGAAAATGTTTTGACTGCAGAGTCCCAAATATGTATGTTTGATTTTCTTTATAATAAACTTAAGAATCTGAAATGAATCTGGAGTAGAGTCAATCTAATCTGTTGGGTGGGATGGGGTGACAAAAGTCACTGAACGAAAAACCAAAACAAACGCGTTAAAGGGAGCCGGCAACAGAATGCCAAGACCGGCTCAAGGTAGGAAGGGCCACGCGGCTACATATCACCAAAGTAGCCACAATACCGCCAAATCCCACTGGCGTCCATAACAGTATATTATAGCAGTATGAGTAGGTGTGTTGGAATAAAAGTAAATAAATTTGATTGTTGGTCTGCCGCACCCCTGTCGCGGTCGAATCTGACCCTGAGCCGATGGCTAGCCGGCGTTGCGACAGGCAAAGGCGGACTTAACAAACGCAGCGCTGCGTGCGTGTGCAGCAGTGCGCAGTGTGCGTTTTTTGAACCCTGATTAAAACACGAGACATAAACTTAGTTTCGTATCAGCCCTCGCACGAATTTCCTAAGAAAAACAAATTAAACGTAAGCATATAATTGAAGATATGAGAATAAATATTTTCCGATATTTTGTATTGAAAATCGATTAATTTCAAATATATAGCATTGAATATCACATCGGTCTTTATTCTATCTGTCCTTAACATCGATATAGCATCGATGTCGCTATATTGTCGCTCATCTCTAGTATATGCATTCCTTGGGTTTTATGAATTGAATTTATTTACTGAATCTTCTGGAGATATAACAAATAAAAGTGTTGTCAATAAATGTACTATACTATATTTTATGAAGAACTGTGTTCCCTTATAGTGCTAGACCTGTACGAACATAATTTTAGGTGTTTGACCACTGAGTAACACCAACATAAAAACTGCATATGTAAATACCATATGTATATACATTTGTAAATCATATACAACAATCAAGCATAAATCGTTCAGAAATCATTAACATACAAATTGAATTATACAACATGAGTAAGTAGTATAAATAATTATTAGGTGTTTATTTCTAAATACATACATACATTTTATAGACCTTTTTTCTAACTGGGACCCGCCCATGTTAACTATTAAATCCGTACTCCAACTAACTACCCAAAACAAATAAATCGTTTTTAATGAATACTTGAAAATAATAATATAAATATACATACATATATAGGCGGTCACCCCCCTTGAGTGGCGGTGAGTGTCCGGCCAAGAGAGTTCACTGTATATACAATTTTCCATCGAATTATTTACATACAAACATATGTATCTATAGTATATGTAACTATAGTAGCCTTATCTTTAGTTATACATAATAATTTTGCGACTGAGTTTTATGAATGCCACTAGAATTAAGTTCAGTAAAAATTTTAAAACGGGAGAATGCTAAACGCGACTGTGAAGTACTTTTGGAAAGTTTGTTTTATGAAGCAATGCCTTTATGGGCAGTACTGACGCAACTCTGCAGTGATGGAGGGAAATAAACTAAGATTGCGTTGCATTGGGATATGGAGAGTCTACATACAAAGTTTTGTCAATGGACACATGCACCAGGGAAAACTGATCACTGATCAGTAAAATTACTGATAACAGATATATGTATTTTAGTTATAGCAAAATAACTTTCCGATATTTATACTCTGTACATGAAATATACAATAGTATATTAGGTTTTCGAGAGCTTTAAAATGTAACAGGCAGAAAGGGGCGCGGCAGACCCCACTAAGTATATATGTACATATATTCTTCATCAGCATGACAAGGTGAGTCAATCTGGCCATGTGTGTCTGTCTGTCTGTATAAACGCAATGATATTAGAAGGTATAAGAGCTAGAATAACCAAATTTGGTGTCCAGATTCTCCTAGAAAGGACCAGTTTGTTCATTTTTTCCGATACACCACCCATAAGTAATTTTTCATAACTCCCGTAATTCTTGGAATTTCGAATTCAAATTTTGTAACTATATCCCGTGATTATGTGTCCGTATATTAAGTGCCATTCTGATAATTCAATTGGAAAGAAAGTATATCCATAACAACCCAACAAAGTATATAAGTATATTCTTGATCAGGATGACTTCCATTCCTTTCTTGTTGCATATGATCAATGTCTTTATTTACACGGTTGTGTCTGAAACCAATCTCCCGTGTAAAAACAGAATTAGGTAAATAACCAGTGCTGCCATAATTTTTTGAGCAAAAACAGCTAGATTGCCAAAAAAAATAAAGCTAAAAAAAGCTTAATCCAATGCAAAATAAGCTAAAAAACAGGCCGGCTTTAAAAGCACTATTTTCTTGGTTACATTTAAGAAATATATGTTTTAATGTTTTCATATTAATTCTATATTCTTAATTGATAATTTATAATAATAATATGAGATTCTTGTATAAATAATAATAGAAAATTCACATTAAAATCAAGCTAAAAATTCTACAGTTCATCTAAACTCACTGCCTCTCCGTCACCTAGCCCTCGCTTAACGCTAACTCTTTTAATGCTAACTCGGTCTAACGCGATTGCAAAATTGCTACCTTTCTCTTTCAACGCGGTGAAATACCTAGTTCTAACGCGATTGACAAAATCGTCGATTATTGCATGAGTAGCTTTGGGTAAAGTATGTATCACCACACATGACATGTGTGTAGAAAAAGGGAAGTCCCGCTTTCTCCACAATCAGAGTAAGAATGAGTGCATACTCATAAATAGTTACTAAGGTGAGCAAAACTTTATTTCTTCAGACGCGCATACAGTAAGATTAAAATTCTTGTGATAAGTGAAATGGTTTAACCGTTGAATGAAATAAAATGGTATAAAGTTAATTATACAAATTGCAGTTTCTACATGGCAACAAAAGAAAATAAACCATATAAGGAGAGCTGCTATGAAGCTTTAAGAGCCACTAAACAGTCGAAAATTACAGATTTTGATGCCACGCAAGGGGAGCAACCATATAAAAAATGTTAATTACTAAAGCTGCTATAAATTCCACTAAATGATTTTTTATTTTAATACATATGTGTTCTCTTTTTACTTTTCAAAACTTTTGCCATTTGAATAAACCTTTTTAAGTTTTTGAAACTAATAAATTTAAGCACTAAACAACAGCTGCGGGCAGCACTTGAGCAGCGCTGTAGCAGCAAATATATTTATGGCAATAACTTAAAATTAAAATCGGTCTATCATAGTGAAACTTGGCATACGGCCACATAATAACAAACTGGGGGTATTTGCAAAATTTTAGTTCGAAATTCGAAGAATTGCGGGAGTTAGAGAAAATCGCAATTTGCATGGGAAATGGGGGAGGGAGGGAAATTCCAAAATACACATTTTCTGCGTATTCACATAAGGCATCTTGGAATTTTAATTTGATATCCCTAGGTCTTATAGTCTCCGAGATATAGGCGATTATACGAATGGAAAATCGGGAAAACCCCCATAGGGGGGAAGTGGGGGGGAAAATCAAAAAAATAAAACAAACTCGTAGCGTACACACATAAGGCATATTTGTCCAAAATTTGGTGTTTCTAGCTCTTATAGTCTCTGAGATCCAGGTGTTAATTAAATTAAATTAGAAGACATGTTTATGTTGTGTTTTAACAGCATACATTTACATCACGTGCATATGCGTGTATGTATGCAGCATAAAGCATACAGATCCTAAATAAAGATTAAAGACAGAGAAAAAAAAATTAATTTTAAATATTAAATTAAACTAAATAAAAACAAGAGAGAACGCTACAGTCGAGCAAGCCCGACAGTGTAATACCCTGTACCCAGGTAAACTTCCGTCACTGAGTTATATGCGCCCATAGCAGCAGCAAAAAGAGGAAGAAGAAGAGCGAACTTGCTGCTGCAGTTTGGGGGGGTTGTACTGGCGAGGATTTGTTTTGCTAATAACTTTTCTTAGAACTGACCGAATTGAATTTATACAACAGTAGACAATTATATATAAATTATGTGTGCAAAGTTTGGTTTAGATAGCATTTGAAATGTGGACGCTATTGACGAAATTCTGTAGCGGGGGAAGGGGGGGAAAATTAAAAAAAAAAACATAAACTCGTCCTTACTCGGACCTAGGAGAATCTGGATGCCAACTTTGGTTATTCTAGCTTTTATAGTTTCTGAGATCCTCGCGTTCATCCAGACGGACGGACAGACGGACGGACATGTCTAGATCGATTTCTCTCGTCATGCTGATCAAGAATATATATACTTTATGGGGTCGGAGATGCTTCCTTCTATATGTTACATACTTTGCACAAACCTAATATACCCTTTTTACCCTACGGGTACAGGGTATAATGATTTAATACATACATACATAAGGGTACAAACATAGTAAGTGCTGAGTTTAGGCTGAAGACGAATTGCTTGCGTTGCGAGCAAGGTGACAGTTTTTCATAGTGAAAGACGAGTTCGATGTGTATTTCGTTATTCACAATTATTTGTAAATATCGTTGATTTATTCTCGATGGTCGATGTTCTTTACTACTTGTCCATCACTGAATTTTCATTTTTGTATCTTATATACAGTGCTGTCATTTTAGCTTTTTCCCCGCTAGATCTGACTTTTTTTGAATGCCAGAGCGAGAAAAATTCGAAAATGGCGGGTTTCGGGAATTCTAGCTTGAAAAAAAAGTGTATTTTTTTTATTTTTGGGAGTGGGTACATGGTACTAAAGAGTTGAGCTCGCTCGACTCTAGCATTTCTTTCTTGTTTTCCTTGCAAAAATAAGTGGTTTCTGGTTTCTTCCTTCTACTTTGAAGGGTCATCGTTTTACTTTTAAGGTTTAGTTTGTTATTTTGTTTGTTTTGTGTTTTATTCATCAAATTTTGTTAATCTTCTTGACGATTCAGGTGTAATCTCGTTTAGTTTCTCTTGATTCTTCTCCTGCGATTCGTTAAAATGTCACGATATCCTGCGGACGAACTTGGCGAGATGCGTGGAGCACCGATCAATTTTAGAACAATTAAGTTTGGTCCCTATTTTGATCGGGAGTTTCGGGGGACTCAAATATTTGTTGACAATAGATCACGACGTATAGGCGTTTAGTGCGTTTCTTTCGTACGTCGTTGGACCCTGCTCGGGTTCCAAATAATTTTCAACATATTCAATTCAAGTTGTTTTAAGACTAAATTTACAATCTTAAGTTTTGTCTTAGGCAAGCGACGATGCCAGCGGCGCAGCGAAGCTAGCTGGCTGTGGTTATTTCAGCGACGTTAGCAGCGGTGCAGCGAAGCTTCTGTTAACGGTACTTGAAAAAGTATGTTGAATAAGTATGTTTGGTGTTGCAATGTGATTTTGGTCGACTGTTTGGGTAACTGAAAATAGCGTGTGGCGGAAGCCGGTGAATCGGTGATCCAATTGTTTTTGTATGTTCAATTTATTTGTTGTTAAAGAATGCAGTCAAATTATACAGTCTTAATTCTACAAATTTATTTATTTATAGTTAACAAAGAACTGCTAACTTTACAAGAAAAATAACAATATAAACATATTTGTATACTAAAAGAAAGAATAAGCTGCATAGTACATATAGGCATTTCCACAGAAAAGTCTACCACCACCAAAAGAATAAAATATAACAAGCAGAATTTCTAAAATTTTGGCATGGCAGACCCCACAAAGTTATATTTTCTTGATCAGCATGACAAGACGAGTCGATCTACCCCTATCTGTGTGTCCGTCCGTATGATTAACTAGATACCAAAGACTATAAGATATACTATAGAGAAACCAAATTTCCCACAGAGATGCCTTTGAATTTCACTCCTATGAGGGGTTTTCGGAAACGTTGTTCTTATAATCCACTATATTTCGGAGACTATGAGACCTAGAAACACCAAACTTTAGTTGAAGATGCTTTATATGAATACGCATCATTTTTATACTCTGTACATAAAATGTACAAGAGTATATTAGGCTTGCGGGAGCTGAAAATGTAACAGGCAGAAGGAGGCGTGGCAGACCCCACAAAGTATATATATTCTTGATCAGCATGACGAGACGAATCGATCTAGCCCTGTCTGTCTGTCCGTATGAACACCTGGATCTCAGAGACTATAAGAGCTAGAGACACAAAATTTTGCGTTATATGTATACTCTGTGCAAGTTTGTTTTATTTTTTTGATTTTCCCCCCACTTCCCCCCTATAGGGGTTTTTCCGCAACCCCGTTCGTATAATCGCCTATATCTAAGAGAATATAAGACCTACAGACACCAAATTTTAGTCCCAGATGCCTTATGAGAATTCGCAGAAAATGTTTATTTTGGAATTTCCCTCCCTCCCCCATCTCCCCTGCAAATATATATTCTTGATCAGGGTGACAAACCGAGTCGATATAGCCATGTCCGTCTGCCTGTATGACCGCAAGGATCTCAGAAAGTATAAGGCTTAGAATAACCAAACTTGGTATCCAGATTCTCCTAAGTCCGAGAAAGTACAAGTTTGAGTCTTAAAATTCAAAAAAAATATATATTTATTTTTGTTGTGGGAGTGAGTACAGGCTATTTCAATACGGCTTCAATTTGCGAAGGAAAACATGTCGACTGTTCAATCTGACACTCGACCTAATGTTTAACTTTCAGTTGTCTTTACTGATGAAAAACGTTTTATTTTAGATGGCCCTGACGGATTTCAATACAAGTATCACTATTTGCGAAAAAATGTGCCATATTTAAGCCGAGAAGGTGGAGTCATGGTGTGACTTAATTTTTATCGATCAGAAAATGAACGGCGAGCGCATCAAAGCATTGTTGGAGTCCGTATTTCCAAAATTTAATGATCTCTTCGGACCAATTCCTTGAATTTTTCAACAAGATAATGATGTTATACACTGCCTATTCATAACGCTCGAGTAGTAAAGTCGTTTATTTGGAGTGGAAACGTTAAAATCATGACCTGGCCACCATATTCTCCAGATTTTAACGTAATTTAAAATGTATTGTAACGACGCCCTGGCGACCATCACAGGGTGTCGTCACTAGAGAAGGACGGCGAGGTGTAGTTCTAAGGAAAAGGAAAGATGTATATATATAAACGGAATGTGAACAAGTAGAGAAGCTAACTGTGTCCCGACTTTGAAATACTCTGTACATAGGTGTATAATTATTATGTTTTTTTGTCTCGTGTGCCTGTGCAAAATAGTAACACCAACAACAGCTGCGGGCACTGCTTGGTCATATGTACATATATGGCTATAACTTCCTGTTAATTCGGCCTACCATCATTAAACTTTGCATACAGACTCATAATCACTAACTGGAGGGATTACCTGAATTTCAATGAAAAATTGGGACAATCAGTGGGAAGGGAGAGAAATTCTAAAATACACATTTTCAGCGTATTCATATAGAGCATCTACGATGAAAATTTGGTGTTCTTAGGTCTTCCGAGATATAAGTGATTATACGAACGGCGTTACGGAAAAAAAAACATTATCAAGGAAGAGGGAAAAATAAAAAAAATAATGCAAACTCGTATAGCGTACACTCATAAGACATTTTTTTGAAAAATTTGGTGTCTCTAGCTATTATAGTCTCTGAGATCCAGGTGTTCATAAGAATGGACAGTCAGACAGTGCTAGATCGACTCGTCTTGTCATGCTGTTCAAGAATATATATACTTTGTGGGGTCTGCCACGCCTACTTCTGCCTGTTATATTCTGCACCTCCCGCAAACCTAATATACTCTTGTACATTTCATGTACAGAGTTATAGAATACAATTATATATCTTGCAAAACTAAGCATAACTGTGAAATAATATATTAATAACAATAATATGTGAACAAATAACAGAAGTTACGATATTTTATAAAAATCTTGTAGTAGATCACATGGTGGGTATATGTAGAAAAAAAATCCTTTTATACGAAAATTCCTTTTAAAATACGAAACTATTGTGCATGCATTTGAAACGTCCATTACCAAAAGGTACGGGTCCGGCTAAGAGATGTTTTCTTTCAAATTTGATGTGTTTATGCATGTCACGAGGTTATCGTCCAGCCAAGAGAGATAATGTCCGCACAAGAGAGGCGAACTTGCTCTAAAAAGAACACCAAAACGAATGTTCTAGAAAAAGTGTCCGGGTAAAGGAGGTGTCTGGTTAAAAGAGGCGTGCGTTAAGGGAGTTTTCACTGTATATTTTTTTAAGCAAACACACTTAGCCCAGCAAAGACGGGCAAGACCTGCTAGTTCTATATAGAATCGTGAAGAGTCTACATACCAAGTTCGGTGAATGTGAATGTGTAAACCGTTTCCGAAGTCGAGCCATTCATCCAGACAGACGGACATGGCTATATCGGTTCGTCCCGTCATACTGATGAATAATTTATATGCTATATGTCGTCGAAGATACGAGTACTTCCTCTTCCAAGTTACATACTTTGCAAAAACTTGATATACCCTTTCTACCCTTTTATTACATTAACAAATGTGAGGTGCCGATACAAATAACAATAAAAATATAGAATAATAATACGGTATAATTTCAAATTAAAATAAAAGAAAGCGTTAAAAATAAATGTGCAATAATGTTATAAATGTACAATAATGAACAGTCCTACGAATTGCCAATGATGGACGGTTTATGAGCAACAGACTGCGAGAATACGATGGCTAACGAAGGTTGGGCTGGGATCACGTAAATCAGAAGGAATTGCTTCTGAACAGTTCCAATACGTTCCTGATGTTATTAAACTGCGGACACCAAATACATAAGCAGCATTTAATCACGGGTCGTACAAGAAAAGTGTGAAGGGGTCATTAAACTCCTTGGACTCACCGTCGGCCAACTTTTTTCCGGCCAAGGGTAGTGTCCGCTTAAGGGGATAGAGAGATAGAGACACCAAATTTTGCACAAAGATGCCTTTTGTGTGTACGCTATACGAGTTTGTTTTATTTTTTTCATTTCTACAATTATTCTACAGAGTATTTCGGGACACCAATTTTAAAGGAACTTATAAAATCAATGGAAGATGAAATAAATAAAGGCTTAATTGGCGATTTAATATTTGAATCCGAAAACCAAGCAGGTGGATGACTAATCAACACAATTTATCTGAATTTGTAGACTCTAATAATTAAAAAAAAAAATCACTGGGCAGGTCAAGAATATATATTGAAATAGATAACTATATGAGCAGGGCTGTTGATCCATGAATTCATGTGATTAAACGTACTTACTTGAAAAAAGCAACAAATTTTAAATTGCTAAGACATATGTATATATGTACATGCATATGTACTCAATATCCCTGTCAGCGCTGCAAACAAGTGAACGAGTTTTTCTACTTCTGAACAAATTTTAAATAAGCGGTTTAATATAGGTAAATAGAATAATCTTTCTTTTAAAAATAGTCGTGCTTATTATGGATTTATGGTTATAACAAGTTCGTGTTCGGCCGTGTAAGGAACAATTTTATTCGTGCGTGCGTGTTTCTAAAACTTCATTTAGTGGCCGTGTCAGGCCGTAAATACCCGGCCCATGCCCATCTCTTGCACGTATAATTTAAATAAATACATTGAGACTTGTTTTGTACTTTCGGGTATAAGGATTTGAGCTCGCGAATTAAAACCCAACAGTATGTATGTAAATGTAATTAATTTATTTTCGATTTTAACGGTAGTAGTGTGACTTTGTGTCTTTGTGAGTTTAACATTTAAATCTGAATCTACATACATTGCCATGTGGCAATTTTTGTCCAAACATAAAAGTCTCACAAATGTTTGAAAGAAAAAACATATTCATATTCCAAAAGTGCCTTCTTTGTTATGATGATTTTCGATTAAAAGTGAGATGCTAGAAAGAATATGTGTGTCCATATTTCAGATCTACTAAATATATGTGTGCCGTTTGTATTTTAAATATGTGTTGTTAATTTTAATCAACCCGTACTATTCTTGTTACAAGCGCACGACCACAGCGATGTTCCGCTGTACAAAGTGCGGAACCAAGACATGGCCAGTGATCGACTGAGAGGTCAACGTGAAGCCATTTTGCTCGAAACAAACTTTGAAGATGATGGTGTGATGACCCGTGCTCACAGCAATAGTGTATATAACGGGTTCAGCATGCAGAATAGACGACGCAGCTTGTATCGTTCGGACCACTCCCTGGAAAGGTATACAGACCTCGTCAGTAAAGGTAGGAAAGTGGGCAACTGGCGTCCACTCCTAATATTTCGTACAGTTCTGTTTCTTTATTTCAATCACTGATGTTCTAAATGGCTTACATAAAACTGCATTTTGTAAAAATTTCAACATTTGGAATGTTCCTCACATTATATATAATTATTATATACAAGAGCAGCCCTAAATGTTTATACTTATATGTGTATATGTTAACAATGATACAATAGCATAAAACATAATTTTTAACTTCAACAGTTCATTCAATACGCTTTTGATCGAAAGTAAGTAAACTCGACTCCCAAAGTGCCGAGAGCTTTCTCATGTCCCATTTCTTGCTCAAAATATGGCAAACGCGATCTTTAGAAATCTTGATGATTTTATGACACTAGGACATATAAGCACTAAAGAGATATAATTGCTAACTTTGAGTTGAAAATTCCAATAATTACGAAAGTTATGAAAAATAACTAATGGAGGGGGAAGTGGCGGGTGTATACGAATAAACAAGAGAGAACGCTACAGTCGAGCAAGCCCGACAGTAAAATACCCTGTACTCTCCACAAAAAAGAAAAATTTAAAAAAAAAATTTTTTTTTAAATTAAATTATTTAAAAAAATGAATGTATTAATTAATTAAAATTAATTAATTAAATTAAATTAGAATACATGTTTATGTTCAGTTTTAACAGCAGCCATTTACATCACGTACCTATGCGTGTTTATATGCGTGTATGTATGCATCACAAAGTTGAACCAAAGCAGCAACAACAACAACAGCTGCGGGCACCGCTGCCGACAGAGCTGCAGGCAGCGCATGAGCAGCGATTTTACTTATGGCTATAACTTTCTTCAGAATTGACCTATCATGATGAAATTTGGCGCACGGACACATTAGTACTAACTGGATGTACCTACCAAAATTGATTTCAAAATTCCGAGAATTACGGGTGTTATGTGCTTTTCTCTAACTCCCGTATTTCTTGGAATTTCGAACTCAAAATTTGCGAATACCCCCAGTTAATGATTATGTGTCCATATGCCAAGTTCATTATGATAGACAGATTTAACAGGTAGTTATAGCCATAAATATAATTTCTGGCCAAGCGCTGCCCGCAGCTGTTGTTGATGCTTTGGTTGACTGCTAACATGCTTACACAGACACGTATATACGCGCGTAGACATACATACACTCACATAGACGTAATTGCTTTGTAAATGTGCAATTATACACCCTTTACCTGAGGTCGAATACCGAGAGGTAAAATCGATAAAAATTTGTTTATTTTTATTAAATTTCTATAATTGTTCTAAGTACATATGTACAGATCATTTCAAAGTCGGGACACCCGACTTTAGCTTTTTAACTTTTTTTTTATGCACCCCGCAATTCCCCGCTATTAGTGATTTTCCATAACTTCCGTTATTCTTGGAAGTTTGATCTGTGGACAATTACCTCATGGAAAGAAGTATATGTGCATAGATGTTTTTTTAAATAAAAATATTAATTCAGTAATTCAAACTATCAGGGGTAACACAGAAATCTCTTACGCCCAAGTTTCGCCTCAAAACCAATTCTCGGTGCCACAGAAATGGGATGTTTCAAATCTTGTTTGCTTTGCTAGGAGTGTTGATTAAAAACACTAAAAAAGACATTTTTCCAAATGAAAATAATCATTGGAATATATAGTAAACCTTATAGTTTTTCTGAACAATCCGCATCAAAAATATTTTGCATTTCCTACGTAAATATTATTAAATTAGCAAATTACTAAATGCATACTTAAAACACCAGCATTCACACACAGCATCCAAAACAACGTACAATAGAGATGCCCCATTGGCCCAAATAGAACATTACATTTTTCGAACATCACATTTTGCTGAGTTAAGTCTAAAGTTGTGAGTCAAAAGAAAGTTGAAAATAAAATATATATTTGATGCAATTCTTGTTTCAAATAAGTACCACATAACTGTGTATTAATTAAACAAATTAATAAATTGTGTGTCGCCGATTGGGCAAGTCTGTTTGTTAGCGAAAATGTGAACGGTCATAAACTGCTATTTGAATATACAATACGGACCAGGGAAACAAAATCTAAGTACACTTTTGTAATTTCTGAATTCAATTTCAAATACTAATTTTTGCAAAACATAGATCGCCACAACAGGGCACAATTTTGGTATCCAGGTTCCCCTGAGCCCAAGGCAGGTCAAGTTGTTTTTTATTCTGATTATATAATATAATAATTTGTATTTAATTTAATTAGTATAATTTTTTAAAATTAATTAAACATTCTTTTTTTTTCATTTTTTCCTTTTTGGTGGGAGGTACCGGGTATTTAAGAGTTGAGCCTGCTCGACTTAAGCATTCCTTTCTTGTTTTTTAGTTAACATAGTACGTTACAGAATTTTAACAGAATTAGTCGGTCAAATGTACTCGTCGACAGTCAGCTGTTGCTGGCAGCTGAGTACGTTACAAGATTTTTACAGAGTTAGTCAGTCCAATGTGAGCATCGACAGTCAGCTGTGTCTCACAGCTTTCTTTCTTTCGAAGTTCTGTGGCACCGACGTGTTTTTTGGGAGTTTTCAAAAACAACTGTAGCCGAAACCACCGCAGTTTTCTGTGGCACACCTGTATATTTTTATACCCTGTACCCGTAAGGTAAAAAGGGTATATTAGGTTTGTGCAAAGTATGTAACATGCAGAAGGAAGAACTCCGACCCCATAAAGTATATAAATTCTGAATCAGACATGTCCGTCCGTCCGCCTGGATGAACGCAAGGATCTCAGAAACTATAAAAGCTAGAATAACCAAAGTTGGCATCCAGGTCCGAGAAAGGACGAGTTTATTTTTTTTTTTTTAATTTTCCCCCCTTCCCCCGCTACAGAATGTCAATAGCGTCCAAATTTCAAATGCTTCCTAAACCACTTTGCACACGTAATTAATATATAATTATCTGTTGTTGTTTAAAATTTTATTCAATTCGGTCAATTCTAAGAAAAGTTGTTAGCGAAACAAATTCTCGCCAGTACAACCCCACCAAACTGCAGCAACAAGTTCGCTCTTCTTCCTCTTTTTGCCGATGCTATGGGCGCATATACCTCAATGTCCGAAGTTTACCTGAGTACAGGGTATTTCAGTGTCGGGCTTGCTCGACTGTAGCGTTCTCTCTTGTTATATCTGTACCCGTAGCGTAAAAAGGGTATATTAGGTTTGTGCAAAGTATGTAACATGCAGAAGGAAGCATCTCCGACCCCATAAAGTATATATATTCTGAATCATCATGACGAGAGAAATCAATCTAGACATGTCCGTTCGTCCGTCTGGAAGCTGGAATAACCAAATTTGGTATCCAGATTCTCTTAGGTCCGAGAAAGGACGAGTTTATTTTCGGAATTTCCCCAATTATTAGCGAAACAATTTCACTCCGGTACTACACTCACAAGCTACAGCATCAAGTTCGCTCTTATTCTTCCTTTTGCTTTTGCTAGAGGCGCATTTACCTCAGTGTCGGAAGCTTACCTGGGTACAGGGTATTTCACTGTCGGGCTTGTATTTGTATTAATTTGTAGTTCTTATGATTAGATTGAAAAATATAACACAAAACGTTCAAATGGCTTCAACTTTAAATTTTGTAAATTAAATAAAAAATATTTCTTAGGAAATAAGTATATGTGAACTTTTCAATTTGTCTTAATTTGTTAAATTCTTTTGTTAATTTTTAATGTTAAGATTATCTTTTTTTTTTAGTGAAGTGAACGTCGTAGACGTCGGACATATTTTTATTTCGATCCAACGTGTGTTAAAAATATATTGCAATTAACGCCAAATTAACCAAATTAATTCGCGACAAGATGCTCAGGGCATGCAGTTATGCTCGTGTTACCCATGTAAATTGATCATGTATTGTGATTAGAACTAAGAAAAACGAACTAAATTTTGTGAAAAAAATAAAGTAATGCTAACGAGTAAGAGCATAAGCTCTGTAAACAACAAAGAAAAAATGCGCCAGAATCGTGCTCGCCAGCAACAACAACAAGACGAACGTTGACTTTCGTCACTTCGTAACAACACGTACTTTTCTATACGCGCACCCGATGTAACGGTACCAACGGTACTGCAAGCTAATCCGGAAAGAGAACACTCTCTCTCCTCTGTGTTAATATGCTCACCCAGCACTTGCAAAGTGGGTCATGGAGTGCCCAGTGCCCGTCTCCAGACCCCTACTGTCTTACCAATGAATTGCTAATAACAACAACGACCAGTACAATGCCCTTGCTTACAACTGTGTCTTCGACTTCTACAATGACAACTACAACAACAGCAGTCTCTCAGCGCCCGGTATTGTCTACTCACTGCGACCTCCTCCTCTCCAAGCCGAAAAGTACGCGAAGCGCTAACGGAGCTTTAATACAGACGGCTCAATAGCTAATCGCTCAATCGAAAACTAAGCCCACAAGCAACTAAGAGAAACAACGCACCCAAAATAACTAAAAGAGCAAAAAACACTGTGCCAACTGAGGCGCTAAAAAACAGTACATTCGCGATTCTCAGTTTACCTGAAGAAGATAACGCCGAAACAGCTAAGGTCAAACAACTAAAGCCGCCACCTATTTATGTGCGTCAGGCAAATTGTACAGAATTGGTTAAAAAAAATCAGTACCAAAATTGGCGAAAACAAATTCTATGTTACGTCTATAAAAAGGGGTAGCATAAATAAAACTAAAATACAAGTCAATGACGAAAATAACTATCGATCAGTGGCCAAATACCTCGACGGTGAAAAGATGAACTACTACACCTACCAACATAAAAGTAGCAAGGGATTACAAGTGGAATCGAGCCAACAGTTCCAGGGAGCGAGATAAAAGATGGACTTAAAGAACATAACATGAACATAATAAATAGGAAAAAAAATTCCCCAACCAATGTTCAAAGTAGAACTGACACCTGAGTGTATGCCTATAAGCAGAGCTTGCAAATAACTGTTAACCGTTTTTCCCTTTGCGGTC